TGTGTCAGGGCACACCTCCCCAGGGCAAAGGGCTCTCAGGGATGGTCCCACAGCCTTGAGCTCAACTTCTCAGGTACATCCTTACTAGAAGGACTTGGTGCAGAGCTGTGCCTGGTGGTACTGGGCACCAGTACAGAGTTTCCATGCTGCCATCCTTGGAGTGGTGAAAGATCCTGGGAAGTGAGAAGAGGGAGAGGTGAATGGGAGCAGTGGGAGACAGTGTATAACATCAGAGAATGGTTTAGAGTGGAGAAGACCTTTAAGACCATCGAGTCTGACCAGCACTGCCATGTTCAGCCCTGAACCGTGTCCCCAGGTGCCACATCCACATGGTTTTTAGGCACTTCCAGGGATGGTGACTCCACCTCTTCCCACAACTGTTTCAGTGCCTGACCACTCTTTCAATGAGGAGGTTTTCCAACCTTCCCAGCACAACTCAAGGCCATTTCCTCCTGTGGTCTCCCAGGTCCTCCTCCTGGCCCTGCCTCTAGATGGACATCAAATTGAGTTCTGTGATGTGCTAGTGGCATATTTCCTTTCTCCCCAGGGTCTGTTTCCTCCTGTGATGCCTTCCTGAGCTTGTTCCAGAGCCATGGGCTGAAGCCAGAGGCCATCTGTCCCTGTGCCACCTCTCCTGAGGCCATGACCATCGCCATCCGCAGGTAACGGCGCAGCCTCTTCCCTGCCCTGACTCACCCAGGCTGGGCCTGTTCACACAGGGCTTGGGCATAGTTGATTTAAGCATGTCATAAACTCCACTGACATTTACTGTGTGTGCTCAGGTCCTCAGGCCACTGAGCTGTTTAAACATCCCTCCCAAGACAGGAGTGTTTCTGCCCTCTGAGCTGTGTGACAGCTCAGCAGTCACCACTGCTTGTCCTGCTCCTGGTTTACACAGCCAGGGTGGTGTGCTGAGTCTGGGATTAGGTTTAACCTCAGGTTTGACGTCACTTGGGTCATTTTCACAGATCAGTTAGGTTGGAAGGGACCACAGTGGGTTATCTGGTCCAACCTCCCTGCTCAGCCAGGACTGTTCATACTCTGCTTCTGTCCATTGCTGCCTTCTGTAACAGGCAGAATCACCTGGCCTGGGAGCTGTTGGTTGGCATGGGCTGGGGTAAGAGCTGGGAGAGGAGCTGCACTGCCCAAGGACACAGTTCCTTATGGATTGACTAATGTGCCTCTCCAGCCCCTCCTGCCATCCCAGCCAAGGACACAGTTCCTTATGGATTGACCAATGTGCCTCTCCAGCCCCTCGTGCCATCCCATTTTGGAACCTGTTCTGCAGAGCAGAGGCACCAAAATACTGATCTTTCTGTTGCTGTGGTGTCTCCATCCGAGTCCAATAACAGCTTGGGTGGCTGATTGAGTGTGTTCATTGATTTTGTGTCCCTCAAAGGCCTGGAGTCCCTGGGGCCCCTTTGCCAGGCAGAGCCATCCTGTCCATGAATGGGCTGAGCTTCGGCGTCATTCGGGTCAACACTGAAGATAAGAACTCTGCTCTCACTGTCCAGGATGTTGGCCATGTGATGCCAGGAGGTAAAAATGGGCAGGAGGCTCCTACAAGGCCTTTTGGGGAGTGTTTGAGGAGGAGAACAGGTCCATGTTTTCTCCCATGTGCAGCCTTGGTGTGGGGGAGGTTGGGCAGTGTCACTTCTGTCAGGGTTAAATGTGTCACTTCTCACACAAGGCAAAGTTTGGGGATTGTTCTAACAGAGCCTGATCTGTCCTAGGCATGATGTGCATAGTGAAACCTGATGGGCCACCCCAGCTCTGCAAAACAGATGAGATTGGAGAGATCTGTGTGAGCTCCAGAGCAGGAGGGATGATGTATTATGGGCTGGCAGGGGTGACAAAGAATACTTTCGAGGTATGTCTAGCAGAATGCATCTTCCTTGCCCCATTTTCTGTTAAAACTGATGGTCTTGTCAATGTTTTGTAAGAAGATAACCTGGAAAGCTCCTCACAGTTAGCTCCAGTCAGCATTAAGATCTCCCACGGTGCTGAAACAGTGACTGTCCCGAGGGTTCCCTCCCCTTCTCCTCATCCCCTCGCTCACACAAAGTGCAGTCTGTGATCTGGGGAAGGTTTTGTGTCCTCAGGCAAATCCCCTTTGCCTCCAACATCCTCCCTTGTGTTGCAGGTGATCCCAGTGAACTCCTCTGGCTCTCCAGTGGGGGAAGTGCCCTTCGTCCGCTCGGGCCTGCTGGGATTTGTGGGACCTGTACGTGAGCAGTTCTGGGCTGGCATCGCTGTGCCCCTGGCAGAGAGCAGCACTGGGCTGAGGGGCTGTGTCAGGAGAGCTGTGTGTCCTCACTGGCAGCCTGTTCTCTTGCAGGGCAGCCTGGTGTTCGTGGTGGGGAAGATGGACGGGCTGCTGACCGTCAGCGGCCGCAGGCACAACGCCGACGACATCGTGGCCACCGGCCTGGCCGTGGAGTCCATCAAAACAGTTTACAGAGGAAGGTCAGCACATAAACCTCAGCCCTCCCAGGACCTGGAGTGAGGTCTGGGATTTCTCTTGGGGCAGCTCAGCTGCAGGAAGTATATTCAGGCAGTAATTGTCCTGATTGTCCCCAGCCACACGTCTGTCCCCCGCGACCCAGCCTGGCTTTTCATCAGCTCTGTGTGCTCTAGGGAAGGGATTGAGTAACACGATAAATCAGCCACGTGGAGAATTTAATTCTCTGTCTTTGCAGAGTTTTAGTCGTTAGCTGCTGGTGCTCTGCTAGGAAGAGTTTCATTAGTGCCCAAAGGTACTCGATGGTTATTTAGCACTTGTGGATTTGATTCCTGGATGCTCAGGCAGCTCATGTCTGTAGGACTCCACAGGAGATTTTAAGCTCCTCCATCACGTAGATGCTTGTGAAGCTTCTTGCATTGGTGACTTGCCACACGTTGGAACAGGAATGTGACAGCAGGTTGGGAGGAGAGGGGACTGTGCAATGTGGAAATTTCATCAGAAGGTGGAATTAACCCCTGAGATACTTCCAATCTTTCCTTTAGACTCAGCTTCAATTCTCTGCTGGTTTCCCTCTTGTCTTCGACCCATAGTTATTTTAACAAGTTCTGCCTTTAGTCTCTTTCCTTGGGTTGCTATTCCCAAGGAGCAGGACTGGAATCTGAGCCCACGTGGCTCTCCCTTCCCTCAGGATCGCTGTGTTCTCCGTGTCTGTGTTCTACGACGAGAGGATCGTGGTGGTGGCAGAGCAGAGACCAGATGCCTCCGAGGAGGACAGTTTCCAGTGGATGAGTCGGGTGCTGCAGGTGAGCCACAGGCACAGGGGGACAGGTGAGGTTGTGCCAGAGCAGAGGACACCAATGTGGCCCAGGTGGAGACAGCACAGGCTCCGGGTCCCTCTTGGCACAGGGTGTCTGTGCAGGGTCACCAGCTGAGGACATCTGCTGTGTCCAAGCTGTTCTGTTGTGTCCTGGAGGGACAGGACACAAGGAATGACATCCTATTGCCAGAGGACAGGGTTAGATGGGATATTGGGAAGGAATTCCTCCCTGTGTGGGTGGGGAGACACTGGCACAGGTTGCCCAGAGCGGCCTGCCACATCCCTGAAAGTGTTCCAGGCCAGGTTGGATGAGGCTTGGAGCAGCCTGGGCTGGTGGGAGGTGTCCCTGCCCGTGGGAACAGGATGAGATTTAAGATCTTCCCAATCCAAACCATTCTGGGATTCTCTGGAGGTTCTGGGAGAGCATGGGGGCTCTGACAGTGCTCAGCACTGTGCTGGCAAGTGACTGTGGAGAAACAAGCACTGCACTGCAGAGCAGATCCATGCTCAGGCTTTGGAGTTCTGCTTTTAGTCTGGATCATGTGGAGCTCAGAGCTTGGCTTTAAAGCCACCCTTGTCTTTGGAGATGCTTTTTCAGCAGCACACAGAGCAGAGGAAGGTTCAAACAGCTGAATTAGTGTAGTCCTGAAAGCAGAATGAATAGCAAATCCTTCCTTTGAGAGCTGCATGTGTGTCACTCCGGGGAATGACATTCAGGGTGTGAAGTGTGCAGGCTGGCGAGGAAAATCAGGGAAGTACCTGGTGCTCTGAATAATGGATCAGATGGCTGAGTGCTGAGGTGGGCAGGGAGGAACAGGCTGTGATGGCTCAGAGCAGACAGATGGATACAATCCCGAGATCAGAATCCTGTGATTCATCAGGCAACTGTGGGTATTTTGGGATTTTGGTCATGAAAGATTTAAAAATGGATTTGGTGTGCATGAAAAGGGCTGTGAAGGGACATACCCAGCACTGCAGGGTTTGCTGGTGGTGCAGGGGTGAGATGGGATGTCAGTGATTGACTCCCTCCCCCAGCACCTTATCCATCCAGGGATTTGCCTGGCAGTATGTCAGTGCAGTCAGTGTCAGCAGCTTGTCTCCAGCAGCACCAGGAATTCCAGGGACCATCTTTCCTCTCTGCAGGCCATTGACAGCATTCACCAAGTGGGTGTGTACTGCCTTGCTCTGGTGCCAGCCAACACATTGCCAAAAACTCCACTGGGAGGGATCCACATCTCTCAAACCAAACAGCACTTTCTGGAGGGCTCTCTGCACCCCTGCAACATCCTCATGTGCCCTCACACCTGTGTGACAAACTTGCCAAAACCCAGGCAGAAACAGCCAGGTAACCTGAACCTCTGTGGGTGGTGCTGGGAGACTGAGGCTCACTGCCCCATGGCTCTGTGGGATGTGTCCCATCGGGTCCCACCTGCTGGGGACCAGAGCCTGCCTTGTGCCCTGTGGCTGGGGAGTGTTTGAGGCCTCTCTTTGCATGTGTGAGTCAGGAATTTTGATTCCTGCCTTTGAACTCACTGGGTTTCCTCCTGGTGGATAGAGACCAGCAGTGCGTGCTGAACTCTGTCAGGGAGGTCTCATTCCCTCTCCTCCTGCATCCCTGCCCAGGAACGGTGGGATCCTGGGGAGATTCTTTGTCCCTTTGCCCTGCTCTTTTCCCAGAGTCCCATTTCAGGTGGCTGTTGTCTCCCCACAGGCGTGGGCCCTGCCTCTGTGATGGTGGGGAACCTGGTTGCTGGGAAGCGAATCGCCCAGGCCTCCGGGAGAGATCTGGGGCAACTAGAAGACAATGATTTAGTTAAAAAGGTAAATCAGTGTTTGTTACAGCTGGAGAAGGGGAAGGAATTTCCCCTCCAACTGAATGCAGAGCAGGAAGCTCTGAGGAGAAGCTGGTCCTGAATTCCTGTCTCTCTGTTTCAGCACCAGTTCCTGACAGAGGTGTTGCAGTGGAGAGCTCAAGCGACTCCTGACCACCCTCTCTTCCTTCTGCTCAATGCCAAGGTACAGGCAGTGCCGAGTCGTTGGGGTTTAAGGTCCACATGCTGTTCAGTGCCACTCTGAGCCTGTCTTTAAAACCTCTTGCCCTCTGCAGTGCCTCCTTTAGCCTCTATGTCAGACCTTGCCCATAGAGTTGTAACTCAAACTTGACCCTCTGACCCTGTAGGTGCCTCCAGCGACCTGTCACGGTTTGATGCTTCAGGGTAAAACTCAGCGTGTTTGTAGGTCCCACTGGTTCCTGTATCAGTTAATGGTGTTTCCCTGTTGAGTATATTCTGGCAAGGTTCTGGTGCAAGAAGACCTGAACTGACTCCCTGGAAGGTAGAAGTTTCTAGAGCAGATCTAACTCCAGCTCTGTCTCTCGATACCGTAGTGGATGAGTGGCTCACTGAGTGCCAGCAGCCTTTAGGTAGAGATAACTCGTAGCTATAGCCTCATGCTAGCCAGCAAGCTTGTTCTGAGCTCACAGCAGCCACGGCCTGTGGTGCCAGGCCCTGCTCAGAGCACTTCTGTCTCCTTTCAAGGGAACCACTGTGTGCACAGCCACCTGCCTTCAGCTGCACAAAAAGGCCGAGAGAATCGCATCAGTGCTGTGTGACAAAGGACATCTCAATGCAGGAGACAATGTGGTGCTTCTTTATCCTCCTGGTAAGCAAGTTGTGGGAATGACTGCATCCCACTGGCCTTTCTTTGGGGTCTCACTGGGCTCTGGAAATGTAGGAAAGACACTGACTGCTGGTCAGAGTTGCTTGCTGGTATGTCTGTGTCCTCTGTGTCCTCCCTGACCTTTGAGTCATTGCCACTCAGGATGTTCTTTTCCTGTATGATGGAGATAGTTTCCTGTGTGCTCTGCCTTTCCCAATCCCTTATCCCAAACTTCCTCAGCTTCCTTCTGCTGCCCTTGCTGTTGAACTGCTGCAGCTGCACCTGTGCTGGGGGGAGGTGTCCACCTTCCCTCACAGAAACTGTGCTTGGAGGAGGAACAGCACTGCCCTGCTGGCCCCAGGGGGGCCCTGCCTGGTGCCCACTGCAGCTGTGGTGTCCTTGCAGGCATTGAGCTGATCACAGCCTTCTATGGCTGCCTGTACGCTGGCTGTGTGCCCGTGACCGTGCGGCCACCCCACGCGCAGAGCCTCGTGGCCACCCTGCCCACCGTGCGCATGATCGTGGAGGTGAGTGCCAGGGGGGCACAGCTGGCACACACAGAGC